ATTTCAATTGTTGTCCTGTAATATGCAAGAAAGTTTTCATGATGAGATGGTTTCTCAATTATTGGAATCCTTTGATCAGACTCAGATAGGTTCGGCTTCGGGTATGCCTGCTGTTGGAAGTATTGGTAGGTATTATTATGTGTGTGATGATACATCAAAATTTTGATGAATGATTTTGTTCTTCTTTCATTACCGATATTTATTGTTGCCATGTCTTGATTCATCATAATAGGAACTTCACAACCTCTCATACGGTTTCGATTTTCTCCCAATGAAAATCTTCGTTTCGATGAATTGTTGCAAATCTCAACAGAGAATCAAATCCTCAGAAAAGTTCTTTTAGTATTCGCTCATCTTTGTGAAGAGATGACTTTTTATCATCATTTGCAAAACAACACTTTTATCCAACACTTTCATTGTTTGGCGTTACAGTACAGGATCAAGATGAATTAGATGGCGAGAAACAATTACAATTCGGACGAGCTATTCCTCTATTGATGGATTTATGGAACTTTTGTGCACGATCTAATTACGTGGTAAAGTCAACTATTCATCAACTAGCAAGCTTATTTTGCGAAGCCAATACAAACGATAAGAATTTATCGACCTATCTCGGAGGCCCTGGTGGCTCACAAAATCAATGGTGTCATTTTGAAAGAGTTTTCGAGAGTCTTAGTGAGCTTCTTGGTGTTTTGATCACATTAGATGAAGTTATTCTTCAAAACAGCGCCTTCTCTCATCACTTAACACTGTACAAGAGAATGATTAGCAAGGGTATGTATGTCGATGAAAAATTTCACAATCAATGCTCATTTCAATAATACCACATCAAAACAGTCATGACTGAACCTGAGAGATACGGAACAACTAAACAAAATGTCGGAAAAGTGTATTATTTATTAGAAAAAGTAGAAGGAGATGTTTTGGATGATTCAATTTTTAAGTCTTGCATCAACCAAGCTTTTGATGATGTCGTAACATATTCTCAGTTAGTTCAAAATGAAAATGGAGAAACTCAAGAGAAAGTTGAAAATGTCACTATAAATGTGCAGAGAAACAAATTACTAAAAGCAGAAGTAGAATTTCATTTGAAATTACAATTTGAAGAAATAATGAACACGGTGTTTGTACAACCCTCAGCTACTTTCCAAGTGCAATCATCAGGCGCAGCATCTCTTTCTGGGTCAAATAACACTGCTACCTTTTTAGAATCAGTTCTAGAGAAGCGACAGGAATTTGTTGGTTTTTGTGGATTATACATTTTATATTTTAATTTATGGATGGACAACCAAACTCTAAAGAAGCTTTTCAAGCAAGTATGGGAATTCCACAAAAGTGTCCAATCATCCATTTATACGGTAATACTGTTTGGTCTTCTGCAGAGTTTTTCTTTACCAAAGTACCAGACATGGTTAGGGTGGCAGGCATTAAGAACCCAAAGAAGGAAATTGAAGCGGACAGATCCAAGTACATGGAGAATTTGATGAAATCTTTGTTCCCAACTATGGTTAACCAACTTAATCTCAAGATGAACATTTGGGAAAGTCGATTTGAATCTAACTTTGACGTTTTGGCTTCTTCAGGTAGAGACGTTCTTGCCATTGAAGGATCATTGTTGTTGCAAGGTCTCGAACTTGCGCAACAAATTAATACCCTTGTTAAAAACGGAATTTATTTACATATTTTGGCTGGTAAAAGTTTGACCATGTCTCAAGTTCTCCAATTGTGTGGAATGGTGGAGATGATCAAAAGTATCCAAAATAGTTTTTACAGAAAGTCTCCACAATTGGCAAAACACATCAGCTATATTACCGAGTTCTTAACTTTCAAGATTCAAAACTTCCTTGTGGTCTTGAGAAACAGACTACAAACAAAAAGAAGCAAAGTAATGCAGATGCCGATCAATTAAGCGCTGTACTTTTGGCTTTACATTTATTGGATTCAGGACATGCCAGCAGAAAGAGACTAGTGTTGCTCAACCTCACACTGGCTGTAGCATTCTCCAGAGCAGCAGGTTTATTCAAAGAATCAGAGTACGAGGAAGTCAAAATATTAATGAAGAGATTGGAAGTGCTAGCACATTTTGACGAATATTTGGACGAGTACTGTGATTGCTCATACCTGTACTGGAATAGACTAGTAATTCCAGCATTCTTTGACAAGGTATACGAAAATCCATCTCGTGCTCCACAACTTCACCTCATGATGTCTGCACTTCAAGATCCATTATACAATGTTCTTCTCTCCTCCAAGGATGGAACAACACCAACAGCTGTTCATTTGGAAGATGCAGGAAAAGCTCTAGTCAACTCTTATATTGACGAAGTGATGACATACTTTAAAACAAAAATTGTAGACCCTCTATGTCAAGAAGTTGAAACAGATCTCAGACTTCACATTCACAATACGAACGTTTTGAAAAAGAAAGTCATTTCTTCTCATACCAAAGACCTGTCGCCATTCTTCAAGACACTTGGTCCCATCAGATTCTACGACAAAATTATTGAAATCAAGAGAATGGTAGAACAATATCTTGACAAGACGTTCTATGATTTTACAATCTTGGCACTTCACGACTGGAAGACTTATGAAGAAATGAGAAACTTGGCATATGAAAAGTATGGATTGAATTTAGTGAATGTGTATCTTCCTGGCCAAACTCTTGAACAAGGACTTGACGTTTTGGAAATTACTCGAAACATTCACATTTTTGTTGCCAAGTTCTCATACAATCTCAATCAAAATATGTTCATTGAACAATGTGCCAAGTCAGATGCGAAAAGTCTCAATGTGCTTCACATCAAACACATTGCAAACTCAATTCGAACTCACGGTACAGGTATTATGAATACCACCATCAACTTTGTATTTAGATTCCTCGGAAAGAAACTTTATATTTTCTCTCAATTCTTGTTTGACGATCATATTAAGAGTAGACTTCTTAAAGATATCAGATTTTATAAGGATGAAGCTCTCAAATCTCTAGATAACAAATTCCCACTGAAGAGTGCTAAAAGTTCATCAAGGACATTAAGAAATTGGGAGTCAATCCACAAACTGGTTTGTCTTATTTGGATCAATTCCGTGTTCTCATCACTGAAATTGGTAATGCCTTGGGATATGTCAGAATGATACGTGCTGGTGGTCTTCGTTACATCAATGATGCAATTCAATTCGTTCCAATGAATTGCTTCCCAGATGTTGAAGAAAAGAGAAAACTGAAAACACCACACCAGAAAATGCTGACTCTGCCAATCCACCTACCGATGTGACAAATAACACCACTGAAGAAAAGAAGGAAGACGATGCCAATAATATCAGCGTCTTGTGTAAGGATGTGTTCTCTGAAGAGACCATGAATGCTGCCAACAACTTACACAAAGTCGTTTTGAATATGGCTAAAATTTCACAATCACAACAAAGTGATTATTTCAAAACATTAGAAACTGTGTTCAAGAATGAAATGATGAAAGAACAAAATAACCATCTTAGAAACTTTTACATCATCATTCCTGCTTTGACATTGAGCTTTGTGGAAGCTATGCTAATCTCCAAAGACAAGATGATTCGTTCCGGAAAAGAGGCATCTTTTACTGATGATGGCTTTGCTTTGGGAATTGCATTCATTTTGAAGGTTTTGGGTCAAAATGACAAATTCGATAGTTTGCATTGGTTCGAAAGTGTGGCCATGACTTTTAAACAAGAATATGAAGACACCAAACGAACCATGTCTGAACTTTCTCAAAAGAAGAATGAGGGAGGAAAGAATAAGAAGATTTCAGAGAAGGAACGAGAAAAGATGATGCAAAATGATGATGAGTTGCAAACCATGAACCTTACATTGAACCGAATTTTAAGCTACAAGAGAGAATTTGAATTACTGTTTTTCAGTTTCTCTGGTGCACGTGTATTCTTCAGAGATTAAAGTTACCTTAAGTGTTATTACTAAATTCCAGAATTAATCCTATCGTTGACAATCTTTCTAGTAGCAATTTGTCAGAAGAAGGAATCAACAAACAAAATAAAAAATATTATTATGAGTTCTACTTCTTTTTCTCATCTTTAGCTTCAGCAGGTAAAAGTTTGAAGTTTTGCAATTTCTCAACAACGCTGGCAATTCGCTTTTTCAGGCGGCTGCTGTCAGCAGGCATCTCAAGTTCAGTCTGAAGGTTTTTTCCTTTGGATTTTTGGTAAGCACAGTATTCAATAATTGTGTTAATCCAAAATCAAGTGTTTCCTCCCATCCAGGGGATTCGTCGTTAACAAAAGAGGGCCAATGGTTCTCCAAAACTTCCATCTCTTTGTCATCCAATGAATATCTGAGTTTAACAAGAATATGCATCAGTAATGTCGAGCAAGTAAGGTCATGAGAAGCTTCTTTTAAGGATTGTTGAGTTTTCTCAATTTTTTTTGTGATCCCTAAAATTTCTTGGTAGGTCTTATCAAAAAGAATGTCCAAGCTGTTGATGGATGTTGGATTCTTGTCTTTGTATCGTACCAATAATCTCTTTTGTAAAGCTCTAAACTGAGCTGCCAGTTTGTCTAATTGTTGATAATAAATTTGGAGTCCCAATCTGTTTTTGAAGTGTGAGTCAATTACGTCAAAGTAAGGGTAAAATGGCATGTTCTCAGTAAATTCAATTTTCATTTGTTGCTTGTCCTCCATATGAAGAGCGGCTGCACATTGCTTTAGCCTTCTTATTGTTTCTTTGACTAAAATATACATAGCATCTAATGACGACGATTGAACTCTGTACCTTCCAGCATTCTTTGAAACAAGGATTGTTGCATCTTTTCCGTTCGAATATTGGAATGTTAAAATATTCTCGCTTATTAAGTTTGACATTTCATCTTTTGTATTAAGTCTTCAAATAATGATGCGATGGGTATTGGGGATTTGTTTGTATCAAGAGTAATCTTATGTGTTGAATTTTTCTTTGCTGGAACTACGTCTCCACAAAGCCCAAAAGGAAGAAGAAAATGGCAATTTGAAATTTTTGGTTGGCCTGTTACAGGATCGTGATAAATAGCTGTCACACTTGCTTCCAAACTCTTTGGAGTGCAGTCACTTCCTCCAAAAACGGTTACAGGTAAAACAAATGGGGTACTCTGATTTCCTCCATCTGTTTCCAAAGTTAGAAAATTGAAAAATTCAAACAAAAACTTACTCAGCGTGGTAATGTAAGTGGTGGGTGAAATTACATAAAATGGCTTTTCGACATGGAAATTCACAGTTATGTTTTCAAGAACACAGTTGTTGCCTGTATACCCAATGTATAATTGAATGGTTACTCGTTTGTTCTCATTGCTTGTGTTAAATGACTCAGGATCAACGGCATTGGGAATTTGAGCTCGAATTACAAGTGCTTCAGACGATTCGTCTTTTTGATTTCGTTTTGTACGTCGAATTATTTGTTGTAGTCTTTTAGTTTCTTCTTCAAGTCGTTCATAGTCTACATCCTTATTTTCAAGAGTTGGAACTGTATTGGAGATGGCACCTGTTCCCAAATAATTTAATGCTAAATTTCCTTCTTCGTCTAGCGTCACAATAGCTCCTTTAACTCCTCCTATGTTAGCCACTCTGATGGCCACAGGAATTGATGTCATTCCAGCAGCCCAAGCTAATTTAGGGTCGGAATAAATCATGACAGTTTTGTTGTGAGTTCCTATGATTAAATTGCTCCTATCATCTGAATTCAAGAACTCGAATCTGATTGTTCATAATTTTCAAATACTTACTCTGATCGGTTCCTGATTTATAGAGCTCAACTGCACTTGGAAAATAATCAAACCTCATTTGAGATGCTAGCTCACCATTTTCCTTAATACTAAATAGCGTTCTTTCTCCCACAGCAAGTATTTCACTTTGTCCTGCTGATAAATACTGGCTATATCTGCCAACAACAATGTCATAAACTTCCTCTCCAACATTCACAGTCCAGGTTGCTTTTACTTTCTTTCCGTTTGAGTTTTC